ATTTAAAAATGGTGAAAATGATCAACTTCTCTCATGTACATTTTATCACAATTAAAAAATAAAGTGTGGGCTGGATGTGGTGGCTCACGCCTATAATCCCAGCACTTTGGGAGGCCAAGGCGGGCAGATCATAAGGTCAAGAGATCGAGACCATCCTGGCCAACATGGTGAAACTCTGTCTCTACTGAAAATACAAAAATTAGCCAGGCATGGTGGCGGGTGCCTGTAATCCCAGCTACTCAGGAGACTGAGGTAAGAGAATTGCTTGAACTCGGGAGACGGAGGTTGCAGTGAGCTGAGGTTGCGTCATCGCACTCCAGCCTGGCGACAGAGCAAGACTCCTTTACAAAAAAATAAAAATAAAAAATAAATAAAATGTGACATAGTGAGCTGGGTTTAAAGAAAAATATGAAGGAAGTTATGACATAGGAAGATCATGAATCTGGCTCAAACCAGGGACTGGAGCTTGGAAGACTGGTATTTTGGGAAACGTTGGGTTTCTACCTTTCAGTAGCAGAGCACAGACTCTGGAGCCGGGCTGCTTGTGTGCAAGTCCCACTCTCCCACTTACTGCTCTGTGACCTTGGGCAAGTCACTTCACCTCTCTGAGCCTCGGATTCCTCATCTGTAAAGTAGGAACGATAGGAGCATGTGCTACGCAGACTTGCCGCATGGATTCGATGAGCCGATATTTATTGAGCGCTTGGAACGGGGCCTGGCACGCAATAAGTGCTCTCTAAGTGTTTGTTAAATAAACAGACTTGCCTAAGGAGAAGCCCGGAGAGCTTGCCTCATCTGTCCAAGGGCCCCTCTGCAAGTTAAGCCTGCTCCAGCTGCAGGTCCTCTGTATCAGAGCACAGGACTGTCACCCCTGCAACAGCGCTTTGCTGCCGGGAGCCCCTGGTATCAGCAGTGAGCAGCTGTCTCGGAGGCTGGGCTCACAGCAGCTGCCCCCAGCCCTCCTCCTCCCCCGCTAGCCCTGCACAGCCACTGAGTTCTCTGTCCAACCCCACCCCAGCCCCTGCAGGTGCCTTGGTGGGCTCTTTCTAGTCCCTTCCAAAGACCCTCTGGCAACAGTCCAGATGGCTATCCATGAAGAAATGGATAAACAAATTGTGGTACACCCAGACCATGGAATATTATTCAGCCATAAAAAGAAATGTGATTCTGATACATGCTATAATGTGGAGCAAACGCCAAACATTTTGAAAGAAGCCAGACACGAAAGACAATGTAATGTATGATTCCATTTATACAAAATGTCCAGAAAGGATAAATCCATAGAGACAGAAGGCAGGCCAGTGGTTGCCAGGGACTGGGGGAGGGGGAGATGGGGAGAGACTGCTGCTAGCGGGTTCGAGCTGTACTCTGAGCGAATGGGAATATTCTGGAACAGGATGGAAGTGTGGCTGCTCAACACTGCGAATGCACTAAATGCCACCAAGTTGAACACTTAAAAATGATCAATTTTATCTTACGTGAATCTCAACCCAGTGAAATTTTTAATTACAAACAAGACCCCCTTAACCCTGTTGAGTGTAGCCACCAGGGGCCCCCCGTTACTCGCCAGATGCTCCACTTGAACCTGCTACGCTGGGCTGCTCCCATTCCTGTCTGGGTGCCCACTTGCCCACCTCGGTACCTCCACCCAGTCTTTTGCCAGAACCCCCTATAAGTCACCCTCCACCTGGAAAAGCCCACCCACCCTCAGATCACCCCAGGGCAGGGCCCACCAAGGGCTCCAATCTGCTCTTCTGGTAGCAGCCTCCACCTGCATTTCAGCGGTCTACCACGTTGCCCGATCTGACAGGGATGAAGATGGTGGAAAACATGCCCTCTAGACCCTACAGCGCATCAGGTTTTGGACTGGAAACTGAATTCTTGTCCTGTCCCTACAGAATTCCAACCTGTCACCAAGACCCATTTTACAGATGCACAAACCCAGGTGCTGAGAAGAAACTTGTTCGAGATGGGACTGACTCTGTTAGGCTGCAGAGGCCGTAGGCTCAGCTGCACCACCTTGCTCACTCCTCCGGGCTGGAGGCTGGACCTGAAGGGCTGGGGCTTTGTTTTGCTCACCTTTGCGCCTCCCATCTCCCTGCCAACCTGAGAAAGGGCTCTGCCCGTGGCAGGCATTCAAAGCCAAGCCGAACTGAAAACAGACTTCCGGAGATTATGAGAAATCAGCATTTAAATGACCTGTGACCTTGTATGTGTTCTGATGACGAGTGACAGTGGGGGCAGGGTGTGGGTGACAGTCTGGCCTGTACTGAGTCATCTGAGGGTCCAGAGAAGGTCACTGAGGAAAGGAGAAATTCACAGAGGGATGCACTGAAGGGGTGTGGTTGCAGGTGGTGTGCCTGTGGGCCGAGTCAGCTCTGAGCTGACATCTGCTAAGACCCAGCAGCACTGGGGAGCAGAGGAGACCTGGATGCTGGTGCTGGTGGCCTTGATGAAACCACAGCAAGATCAGAGTCCCTGCAAGGCCCCAGCATCTGATCATGCCCCGGCTTGGGGTAGGGCTGTGCCTACCCCCAAGCCAGTTCCAAGCCCTCACCCTACGAAGCCTATTTTAAACCCGGCCCAATTCAGGGGATGAGTACCAGTGCTGGCCTCACCAAGAGCTGCCTTCTCTCCCTCCCTCCCCGCCTCGCCAAAAAGGGAAACCATTTTTCTGTAATTACAAGCATTGTGCTGTGTGATTACTGTATTCCGTAATGACGGCTGTATGTTGTAATGACAGGCACGCCACCTCCCCGAGCCAGTGCACTGGCCCCACTCTGCTGTTGACATAAATATCTTCCTGGCGTGCCCAGAGTGTCGGGGAGGCCCTCAGCTTCAGAGGGTCTGCAGCATGGGGTTCCCTGGAAAATAAGCGGGGGGCTCCGGGTGCTCCTCTCTGGGTGATCCTATTCCGGGCCACCCTCTCCTGCGGGCCACATGGGCAGCCCAGCCTTCCCCAGCCTGGCATCACTATCACGTGATGACACTTACCAAAATAGCAGCTGAGAGCAATCTTTTTAAAAATGAGCTGGTTCAGGTATTTACTAAAATATCATTTTTAAACGTCTGGGTCTTCAACTGGCATTTTTGCATATGTTGGCCACAGCTGAAGGGTTTCATCCAAACGCAACTTAATTGGAGGCAAGAAAATGAAAAGAAGAAAAAGCGGAATGAATCAACATCTATTAATGGCTGTTTAACGTATTTCTGCTAATAATCATGCATTAAATAATGTGTGCATTTTAAATCTGGCTAAATATACAATAGTCCATCCCTGCCCCAAAAAGGAAAACAATGACAGTTAAAAATAGTCCCAGTACGTATTTACATTTTTTTTTCCCCCTGAGCCTTTTTGGTTTATAGTTCATCATTCCAAGGGTAAGAATTCTAAAATTTTCTCTGTGTATTTACATAACTGAGCAATTGCTATGTATCACATTGGCTATCAGATCCTTCCAAGAAAAATGAGTTTTTATCTCGACTTCTGCACAGTGGTCAGATGGAAAAGTTCTGTGAAATGAATGTAACCTCCGCGAGGGTCCAGGACAGCTCTGATTTCCATCCATCCTCTTTTGCCCTCCTGGGGCACACATCCCAGGGCTTCTTGGCATGATCTCCTAGGGGTGAGCCTGCCGCCCACGGAGAATAAAATCCCACTGAGTGCCTGTCTTCCAATTTCTGAGTCCAGACTGAAACCAGATCATTGCTAAGGAGAATGGCAGGTCACCTTCCTTTCAGACTCATTGTGAGGAAGGAACCTTGTCTCTCCTCTCCTTATACAGTACAGCACTGAGGTTGGGGCAGGGAAGGAGACCCAGCAGGAAACATTGCTTTGTGGGTTTGCTGCTTCCAGAGCAAGTGTTTTCCTCCTGGGGCAGTGCCCTAGGGTACCAATCCCAGCAGGCCTGGTGGGGAGGAGGACTGCTCCTCCTCCATCCAGATCCCTTCCACCGGGATGTGATCTGTCCTCCAGGGATGTGATCTGTCCTCCAGGGGTAGCCGAGTCCGTTTCCCTCAGGGCCCAGCCAAAGCTGGGCACCAGGTGAAGTGTTACCTTGGCAAGTGATCCACGGGTCCCTGGCATGGGCTGGTCCTCAGCACCAAGCCAGCTCCTCCCTTGGGGTGCAGAAATTGTCAGATGACATTTCAAAAGGTGAGGTGACTGCCCTGTCCCCCACAGCCTCTCCTGTGGTCACAGAGCCACTTACCGTTCTGTTTATGGTAGTTCTGCCTGAGAATTTATGGTATTTATCTGGAGATGTCAGGGGTGTGAGGTTTGTGGGTACACAAGGAGGCGCCGGCACTGCAGTTCTCCACGCCCTCCGTGGTGCCCACATCGCTGCTGTCTCTGAGGATGCTGAATTGTCTAGAGCTTGGTTTCTGAACCACAGGGGGTTGGAGAGGGGCAACCCCGACTTCCTGCTCTGAACCCACAAGGCGGCGAAGAGGAAGGGTCGGGGACAGGCTGTGCATCAGAGGCTCTGCCTGGTCCCTGGATGCACCCCCGGTTCCAGTCCTCTTAGCCTCAGTTAATTGGAATCTTCACATAACGGGACATTCCCCCACTTTGAAACCCCTCTCACTTTATCCAGATTCCTACATTCTGCACAGGCTGTGGCTTGCAGGAGGGAGCCCAGGGAGGGGGGTGGGCAGAGGCAAATTTCTGGATTCAAGTTCAGGCCCCTTGTGCCCTGTAACCTCCAGCTCTCCTTTCCATCCCTGGGCTTCCGCCTCCTGGTGTGACAAATTGACAGTGATTCGTCGGGGTCCTGCCCCCTGGGGCAGGGGGCCAGCGCGCTCTCCTGATGCGGGAACCAGGGCCACTCACCGAACCGCCCCGCGCCCGGGGCTGCGCCCGTCTCTGGGGGATTGGCTCAAGGCTCCCTCCCGTAGTCAACAGCCCTTCCCTGGGGCCCTGGGTGGGGGCGCACCTCGCAGGGCCGCTCGGGGCCCCACTGCCCGCCCCAACTGATAAGACTGTCTGGGAGCGGTGGAGACGCGCCCCGCGCAGCGGGAGGCCGGGGGCGGGCCGGGACCTGGGGACCAGCCGCTGTTCCTCTGCAGCGTCCCGCGCCGCTCGCTGGGCGTCCGGGGAGCGCGGGGCGGGGCGAGGGCGGTGTCCGCAGGTAACCCCCGGGGGGGCGGGGAGGTCTGCCGGGACCCCCAGACCAAAAAGCCTAGGGGGAGGAGCGGCGCGGCTGTGCGCGAGGGCAACCAAGTTTGGCTCCAGCACGCGCGGCTTCGCTACTGCCTCTGGGGAGGAGAGAGGGGACTGTCCCCTTCCGAGCTGGGCTCGGACTTTGGCCCCCAGAGCCGCCGCAGACCTCCAGGAGTGACTTCGTCGCTCCCTATTCTGGACTCGCTGGGTCCCGGGTGCACCGGAGCCGCGCAGTGAACGTGCCATGCAGGAGGGCGACATCGGCCTGGAGGGGCTACCCCTCAAGGAAGCCCCCACAGCCCGTGAGTATCCAGGGCGGCACGGGGGGTGAGGGACCGCCAGCGCGGCCGCAGTGGATCTGGGACGCCCCAGGGACAGTGGCTTGCGGAGGACTCAGGGGCGCACGAGGAGCAGGAGACAGGGACCCCCACCTCTGGTGGCGGGGACAGTCCTCCCTGCGCTGCTCCCGGTAAAGGCGAGAGGGGAGGGGCTGTGTCGGTCACAGGTCGCAGGGGCACTGACAGACAAACAGACGACAGAGCCCCGGGGCTGGGCTGGGGCTGGGGGCGCCGCCCGACAGGGGCCCCTGCGCGGCCCCTGGGGAGACATCTGCTAGGCCGGCTGGGCTGTTCCCAATCCCAGGGGAGCGTCTTGCAGCGGATGCGAGGTTTTCGGATGTTTTTACAGAGGCTATTAATACACATAATATTTCCGTGCTATTCTGGAGATTTATTTGCGATATAAAGTCACTACTATGACTCGAAATCATAATGGAAACTGGGAGGAACTTAGCCGGAGACAAATGAGGCCTGGACGCTAGGCCGGAGGGGGAGTCCCTGATTTCCTCCCCCCTGGCTGCACATAAATCACCACCCAGGATATTTTTGTACCAATAATTTTAAAATAAATGACCCAAGCCCTGTTTCCTGGACGATTTTCCCCTCCCAGTTCAGAGGTTATTAAATAAACCTAAGAGTGGGCTAGTGACAAGGGGGCTGCAGTGTGCAGTGGGTTTTATTTAGTTACACGCTGAGCTCTGCCCTTCTGAAGCCCTGGTTAGGAGGCAGTGCCCTGCATTCAGGATGCCAGCGCCAACCCGGGACTGCTAACTATAGCATGGGAAGCCCTCCTTTTATTCTTTCTCCCTCCCTCCCCCGACTTTCCTTCTTTTCGAATTCCCATGGAGAAACTTACTCTGATGCGTGCCTTTCAAACAGCGGGTTTGGCTTCCTTCTAGAAGTGACACTGGACACTCATCAAATTAAAGGCCCACAAGAAAGAGAAAGGGGCCCTTCCAGCCAGAGCAGGCAAAAAACCTGGGCGCTGAAGTGGGTCACCAGGGCCTGTTCGTGTGCAGCCCGGCTGTCCCGCTTTCCTGAGAGGCTTCCTCAAGCTCATATGTAGAAATGATCCGTTCTGTGATCCACTGAAAACACAGCCCCAGCTCACTGTGTACGACCATCCCACCAAGTTCCAGGCACTGATTCAAATGCTTCACACATTTATCCTCAGCGCTACCCTGTAAAGGGGAGCATGATCATCCCCATTGTGCAGACAAAGAAACTGAGGCCACACAGCCAGTAACTGATGGCACCAAGACTAGAACTGAGGCCTATTGTTCCCAGGACTTGGGGGGCAGAGGCAGGAGGATCTCTTGAGCCTGCGGTGTGCCGAGATCATGCCACTGCACTCCAGCCTGGGTAACGGAGCAAGACCATGTCTCAAAAAAAAACACAAAAAAACAAACAAACAAACAAACAAAAGACTAGAACCCAGGATGTCTGAGTCCAGCTGCTGTGAGGCCACTGCCTCTCCCTTTCCCCACCCCAGGCAGAATCACCCAGCAAGCATCTAGGACATCTTGAGGAAACTGTTCCCTGTGCACAAGGGTGTACTGGAGGCCTGTGCTTTGGCCTTTATAGGGTTCACATTTGGGCATGGGTCATATCTCAGATGTGAGGACCTGGAGCGTTCCTTACTGGAGGATTCAGCTGATCGGATCTGAGCTGTAATCATGGATGGATGACGGCCTCAGCCTCCACTCCCGGAGAGCAGGCCCTTCCTGTCGCCCCCGCTGCACCTCAGCTGTGTGAGGGGTGGAACTGTGTCCCTTTCCCCCTGCCTGGGTAGCAGCAGTGTCAGGAGTAAAACTCCAGGAAGGGTGTCCCAGCCTCAGTTCTCGGGTTTGCTGTCAGATGGATCATTCCACCACAGCAGGCACGAAGACATGCGGCAAAAAGCCTCACGGCACCGCGCCACTCTCGCTCTGCCCATGCCATTTATACCTGGAGGCTGTCAGTGACTTCACCCATAAATAGGAAATTTAAAAAGCCATAAAGTTGGACAACAGAAAGAGGTCTGGGTTCCCCCTTTTTCCTGCCACCGGCACCCAGACCCAGAGAGAGGAAGCACTTGTGAAGTACAGAGAGCCCCAATTCCAGAGCCAGCTTCCCAAGTCTCAATCCTAGCTTTGCTGTCTGCAGCCCTGTGCCCTTGGCCAACTTGCTTAACCACTCTGTGCCTTATCTGTAAAGTCCAGAGGGTGGCTGTGAAAATGATATGAGTCTATAGCCTTTCCAAGGTGCCTGACTCTGTTCTGTGCATGAGTGAGTATTGTTGTCATTGTCATCAGCATCATCACTGCAAGCTTCATCCGTATGACCCTGATGTGAAGTCACACCCAGTGCTCTGTAACTGATCCTATAACCTGCTCATTCTCACTCCCCTGCAAAGCCATAAGCCCATGCTCCCAGGGAGCAATTGAATGGCACAGATGCCCCCTCCCATTCTGACTTCTTCGCAGCTCCTTCATTATTCTTTAATAAGCTATTTATTTACATGCTTGTGGTCTGAACCTCCCACAAAGACAGGTGGAGTTAGGATGAGGTCTGCGGCATCCCTCCACTGGGACATGTCTGCCCAACTTACTCCCGTGCAACCCTCAAAACCCAACTGGGATATCCCCTTCTCTTGGAAATCAACCCACATGCCTCTCTGCACTAATGGTACCCTGGGCACCAAGTGAAGGAGGGAGGGAATGAGGAAGGAAGGAAGGAAGGAATGAGAAAGGAAGGAAAGAAGGAAGGAAGGAAGGAAAGAAGGAAGGAAGGAAGGAAGGAAGGAAGGAAGGAAGGAAGGAAGGAAGGAAGGAAGGAAGGAAGGAAGGAAGGAAAAAGAGAGGTCAGGAGGGAGAGAGGGAGGGAGGGAGGGGGGGACGAAGGAAGGGAGGGAGGGAAGATGATGCTCCCTAATGCTGGTTGAGCAGGTGACCGCGTGCCAGTCACCCATGGAAGCCCTGGTACCTGCATCATCACGTACAACCCTCACTCACTGTATGAGGTGGGTCCCGTTGTTTCTCCCCATTTATGATGAGGAAACTATGGCACAGAGAGATTACTCAAGGTCCTATCGCTGGTGACAGAGGCAGGATTTGAACTCCAGGCAAGCAAGCTGTGCATTTAATCATAGTGATATCTTACCCATTCAGGGGGGATAGAAAGAGTTTTCCCTCCTGAAGCTTTCACCCACAGAGTTATTGAGCACCTACTCTGTGCCTGACACATTGAGTGGGTGGTGTGGGAACACACCTGAAAGAGGTGGGGGAAGAACATTCCAGGTAGAAGAAACAGCCAGTGCAGAAGCCCCGGCACGAGTGTTCTTGAATATGCTGGGTGGATTCCAGAACCAGCCGGGACGGGGAGGGAAAGAGGGAGCAGGAGGGGCAACCCAAGAGGTATGGAAAGTGTGGAGCCAGTGTGGGGGTCACCAGGGCCACTGTAACCATGGGAGCTAAATAACACTCCCCACCCCCTCCCCACCACCTGCCACTGCAGTAGGGTTTGGAGCAGTAGGGTTTGGAGCAGGGAAGGGACCTGGGCTGACTTGGGTTCTAACAGATCCTCTGGCTGTCCCGCAGAGAACTGGTTGATGGGCCAGGGGCGGAAGCTTGCTCAGAAGCTCTTGCAATAATCTGGGTGCACAAGGCAGGTAGGGGAGGGTGATCCCAGGTCTATTTTGAAAGTAGGGCCCACAGGAATTGCCAGCACATGGGATGTAGAGGCTGAGAGCAAGAGAGTCGTCAAAAATGGTTCTGAGATTTTCAGATTGAGTGGCTTGAAAAAGGAGGAGTCCACAAGGAGAGGTCTGAGTGGGGATAAGTGAGAGGTTTACTATTCGTTGTTCCGTTTTGTTTTGTTTTAAATTGTGGTAGATATTATATATACCATAACATTTTAATCTTTTTAAGTGTACAATTCAGTGGCATTAAATACATTCGCGATGTCATACAACTATCATCACTATCTATTTTCAAAACTTTTTCATCACCCCAAATAGGAATTCTGTATCCATTAAACAGTCACTCCCCATTCCCCACCCCACCCTGCCTCTCCTAACCCCTGGTAATCCCTATCTATTCTAACATCTGTCTCTATAAATTTGTCTATTCTAGATACTTCATATAAATGGTATCACACAATATTTGTCCTTTTGTGTCTGGCTTCTTTCACTTGGCATGTTTTCAAGGCATCCATGTTGTAGCATATATCAGTAATCAGTTTTATGGATGAATAATGTTCCATTGAATGGATATACCACATTGTGTTCGTCCATTCATCTATCGACAGACAGGGGTTATTTCCATCTTTTGGTTATTTTGAAAATGCTGCAATGAACATTTGCATGTGAGTGTCTGTTAAGTTCCTATTTCCAAATCTCTGAGGTATATACCTAGAAGTAAAATTGTTAGATCGTATAGTTTTATCTTTAACTTTTTAAGGAACTGTCAAACTGTTTTACACAATGACTACACCATTTTACAGGCCCACTACTAGTGTACAAGGGTTCTAGAGTCTCCACACCCTTACCAGCACTTGATATATATATTGTTTAATTACAGCAATCCTGTGGGTGTGAAGTGGTATATCATTGTGGCTTTGATTTCCATTGGCCTAATCACTATGTTACTATGTTGAGCCTGTGCTTATAGATCATTTGTTTATCTTCTTTGGAGAAATATCTACTCAATTCCTTTGTCTATTTTCTAATTGAGTTGTTTGTCTTTTTGTTGTTGGATTGCAGGAGCTTTTATAGAGCCTGGATATTAAACTTTTATCAGTTGAATAATTTGCAGATATCTTCTCCCATTCTGTAGGTTGTCTTTTCACTTTCTCAATAATGTCCTTTGATGTACAAAATTTTTAATTTTCATGAAGCCCAACTTATCTACATTTTCTTTTGTTGCTCATGCTTTTGGTGTCATCTCTAAGAATTCATTGCCAAATTCAAGGTCGCAACGATTTAC